GGCGGATGTTACAATATGGTGCAGACTTGGCTATTTTGGGAACAGAATAAAGATAGACTACCGGTGAATGAATATCGCATTGTCTGAGTTTGCTATGGCATGTAACGCAGAGTTTCAAGCAGCCGCGGTCGTCCATTGGAACAAGTGCTCAATCTTCACCTAATACTTAAACTAGGACATGTGATACCTGAAAGGGAGAAGACCATTTTCCCTTATGAAAGTGACTATTTCCCTTTTGTCATCCTTATTTTCCTAATTATTTTTTATAAAATTTGAATTTTTTGTTACTGTGCGCTGGAAAAGCCTCAGTCTACACAGCCAGCCATTTTTTCATAACTCTGTACTTTCAATTTGATTTTCAAGGTCATTGGGGATTAGTCCCGAACTGGATATATATATATATATATATAGCCCTCTGGGTCGAGCCAAATACACAACATCATCTGAAGGCCTGTCTTTCGTCTTCTCTTTGGTCGGGTTCCGCGATCGCACCCCTCTCGCTGCGCGTTTTCTTTCGATTCTCTTGAGAATTGCGCTGGGTACCGCAGTCGGGCGTATTCGTGTACTATTCACTCAGTCGCTAGGTCGTTATGGTTCCTATTCGTGGTCAATCCTAACGCTCGTTTCGTTTGGGTCACAGTTTAAACTAATCCGGTTGTTTCTTTTGTCCCAGCGTTACAACAATACCCATGTCACCAAAGGTACAGCCTCAGTGTACATTGTTCGCCGAGTTTCGTGATAGTTGATAGAATGTTAAAAGTGGTCAAATAACAACCTGGTAGAGGGTATGAAAACCCAGACCAGGGGACTAGGATGTGCAGATCGCTTTAGGCTCCCCGGTTCGAGACCTCGGGATTAGCGTAATCGATGACATTGAATGTGGGGCCCGTGCGTTAGTCAACCTACCTTCTGATCTTTCATTCAAGTCGGTTGCGTTAAAACGGCAAATAAAACCACAACACAAAGTGCATACATGGTGAATAATCTTACGATATGTAACTGAGCATGTTCAGATACACTAGCTGGCTCCGGTGAATCCCGGATCATCAGCTCATTTCGGTGATGAGATGGATATATTTTGTACCCTGAGGGTATATTTATATATACACCTGCTTTGATTTGGATAACCTGACAGTACACCGCTCACTAACAAATCATGAACTTATTCTTTGATATAAAAATAATCTTACCGTGGACCCAGACATGTTTATTTTAAGTGCAGATGCAACGTATCTGTATTAGTATCTGCTAATGTTCCCGATTCTATCATTGGAAGGCCTTGTAAAATTGTAATTTTTCCATTTTTGACAATTGTTGGTAGCGTATCAGTTTTCGGATCAAGAAACATTAGCAGAAAAAAATCATCAGAATTAATTTGTAGAATGATCCACAGGTATGATACTGGTATTCTAATTTCATTTCGTCAATACGCTTTGTACCCTCCATTATTCTTAAATGATTGGGCCAGTCGTTTTCGCATATAGAGTCCAACACCTTGTCAATCCAATCCAAGCTTCTGTGACAAATCCCGCATGAGAATTGTCCATGAGCTGTATATTGGAAAATTATAGCTTCATGCGATTGCGTTTCGAGAGTGACAGTCAACGAACATCTGTGTGATCCGTGCATCGAATTTAGCGCTATCCAGAGGGCCACGTACGGGCGCCTAACAATATGGCGCTCGGTACTCAATTCCAATCCAAGTAATCACTCGGCCCCGATATTCATTTTATGTGACTGATGATATGGGTTTCTTTGGGAATCTACGGTAACTAGTCTCACGTATTGCTCCTCATGCACAACACATTCGCCAGTGCGATGAACCGGATGCATATAGGACGGTCAAGGCGATTGGAATTATTGTTTGGCTAAATCACTACGTGCCCTCCTTTGTTCACCTCAAAAAGAATGAGCTTCCGTTCTGCTCGACGCCAAATATTTCATAATTGCCAGGTATAACTTTTTTCCGAACCATTCCTGTTTCATGGTGACACCCATTTAGCGATACTAGACGATTGAGAATGTTGCAGTGAGATGGTTTTCGGAATAAGTGTTCGTTACCCATGGTTATCGATAGGCAAATACGATATTCGAAATTGGGGACAAACTGGAAGCACCGTAAGCCGCGTACAACAACAGCAACAACAAAGCATGTCCGCAGGCAGCCAATCACTAACGCGCAAACAAGTGGCACAGTTTCATTGGTCAATGTTATCAAGGTCCTTTGTGAAAAACGTCCGTGTTATGTGCGGATGTGTGTATATCTGTATGTACCCATCGAGCATTGATGTTGTTCATTCACGGTGAGCAGTGTAAACAAGAGTTATCCGATGAATGCATCGGGCTATCCAACACAGTCCATCAGCGATCCAAGTCGAAATCGGAGTTTTACCGCTGCAAGTATACTCGATTGTTAACTATTACAGATAATTACGATAGATTATGGAATAGCTTGATCCCAGCTAAGCACACGCTCGCTGACTCCTTCCCCATTTCTGGCACGTGCGTTGATTTTCCGTCACACAGCGGTGAGAGTCGTATTAGGAATGACTCAATAAATCCAGTTAATGTAACTAAACAATAATGGACGGGGATGACAGGTACAGAACTAGTGGCATGGTGTCCACTTTTTCCCACTAATATATTTCTTCAAATTTCC